GATTCCAGGCTGCGTGTCTCCTTCCCGGGGACACGGGTGCGGCCGGGCCTGGGTGAGCTCCTCATTTCTCCGGTGAAGCGAGCGTTGCTGACACCGTGCCTGGAATAGCACCTGATCGCCTGGGGCTCCTGCCAACGGCGTGAGAGACAAAAGGGGACGCGTGAGCCGAAAGCGGGGACCGCGGCAGGTGCACGGAGCCCTCGCTGCCCCGGCCCGGCTCCCTCCTCTCCGAGTCACAGTCCGTCCCGACGCCTCCCTCCCCGCACGCCTTGCTTCTGCCGTCAGCGTGAGGGGGGAGGGAGGATGAAGGCTGGGCGCTGGCCACGTTGGGGAAATACAGAAAAGCACCCAAACCGGAGTGAGTCCAGCCGGGGTTCCGTCCGGCTCACACAGCCGCTGCGCTCCAAAGAGGGGTGGGGGAGGAAGGAAGAAAATGCAGACAGCCCTGGCCGGTGTGGCTCAGCGGATAGAGCGTCGGCCTGCGGACCAAAGGGTCCCGGGTCCGATTCTGGTCAAGGGCACGGACCTCGGTGGCAGGCTCCTCCCCGGCTCGGGCCCTGGTCGGGGCGCGTGCAGGAGGCAGCCCATGGATGTGTCTCCCTCTCTCGTCCACTCTCTCTAAAAACCAATGGAAAAACGTCCTCGGTGGAGGATTCAAAGAAAAGAAAACACAGGACAGAAACACACTCTCACACTCACCCGACGACGGTCACGCTGAGCAAAGACGCAGGATGTTTCGCCGGCCACAGCCGTCTGGGCCGCGCTCTCCAGCGTCTGGTAATTAACGACACGCGGGTGTGCGCGGCCTCACGCATCTCGCTTTGGCGTGCGCGTCGGGAAGAACAGCTCCGATGGTGGGTCTGGGGTTAGACTCCCTGCCAGAACCTGCCCGGTTTCTCCTCATTTTCCTGCCTTCGCGGATGCTCTCGCCGACGGACAGAAACCAGAGGACAGCGGCCGAACCAGGCGCTTTGGGTTTTTTTTTCCCCTTTAACCCACATGAAGCTCAGAGGTATAACTCGGGCGGGGCCGGTGGAGTGGCTCCACGGGGCCATCGGGGGCCCAGGCTCCTTCTCGCTTCTTGCTCCGCCATCTTTGGCCCGTGGTCGGTCCCTGCCTCATGCTCACAAGATCGCGGCGATAGCTCCGGGCATCTCACCTGAGTGCCAGGCCCTGAGCGAGCACGTCCCCAGCCTGGGACACCGTCGGGCCCAGACGGGTTACACCTGCCAGCGCTCAGCTCTCCGCGCGGGGCCTGCGGTCCGGACGCGGCTGGTGACCTGGTCAGGGTCCTGAGGCCCCACGGCGACACGTCTCCGCTTCGTCAGTATCTTACGCTGACATCGCCATCTTTCTTCCTTCTACGTAAATAAACTTATTTCAAGAGGAAACTGTGTGTCATTCCTAAACAGAAAAACCCAGTGCCCGGCCCGTGTGGCTCGGTGGTTGAGCACCGACCTATGAACCAAGTGGGCACAGGCCCAGGCTGCGGGCTCCATCCCCAGTGGGGGGCGTGCAGGAGGCGGCCGGTCCAGGATTCTCTCTCATCCCTGATGTTTCTCTCTCTCCCTCTCCCTCTCTCTGAAATCAATTTAAAAAATAAGAAGAAATTAAGAATTATACAACAAAACAAACAAACGAAAAACCCCGTGTCCGTAGCCACGGATGAGAGGGAAACGTAAAAATGAAGGCGACCACAGCGCTGGCCCGGGCACGCTCTCGCCCGCGGAGCCGCGTGATCCTAGAAGGCCCCCCTCCCTCAGTGCCCCGAGAGCTCGCGCCTGAATCCGAGTCTTTTGTGGGAACAGAAGGATGCGTTGGAAACGAGGATGTAGGTCATGCCTCGAAGCCAGGCAGCTGCCCGCCTGCTGCTCCCGCCGCAGAGGGAGTCGCTGACAATCATACAATCCTCTGAGAGCCCCCCACTCCGCGCTCCCACGGAAAGGCCTGGCGAGCTGGGGGCGGGGCCTGGCCCAGCGTTCAAGGCCTCGAGGAAAGGTCCCTGTCAACATGAATTCATGGCTTCTTCCTCGGCCAGCCCTCCCCCCTCCCTTC